GTAAAGCAAAAGTCAGGCATTATGTTTTCTTTTGTTTTCTTTAGACTTTCGATCTACACTTTTGGTTTTAAGATCTCAAGATGGAGATTTTATTTTTAGATAATGCAAAAGATTATTAAGCCAATCTAGCTTAATCTATTAAATATTCTTGTTTTTTCGAAAGCCAAGAAAACTTATGTTAGGAAACAAAAGAAAACCACAATCGAATGGAAAAAAAGATCTAATTGCGTCAATCAAAGCGTTAAAGATGGGGGAGATCCAGTCATTTCTGCTGAGGATGCGCTGGAAATTGACTAAGATAGGAAGCCGATTTGAGAAACTGCTGTACTTGAGCGAAGATGAAAGTGAGCAAGAGGAAGAATTATAGCTTAACAACTTATTTTATTGTTTTTTGTGCTTTTTATTTTGTTTTTAAATTTATCTGCAATTAAAACTCAATCGATCTAGACTGTGCTGAGGTGTCTGATGAGTGACGATCTTGTTTTTCTCCAAGCCTTGCAGCGTCTCCAAAAATTTGTAAACCCATCAAAACCCGTCGATTCGTTTTTTTTTTCCATGAAGCTTATTTTCTTGTTTGATGTATCGCCGCACACAAGTAAGAGATCAATTTTGAAGAATAGAAGTCAATCGAGCCAATTTCACAACATCGAGTTTCGTCCTGATGTCGATCGTTTTTCGCTTCGTTTTCTTTTCCAACTCCGTGCTTCCAATCAAATCTCCATCCACATCGCTACCACATTTTTTCCATTCAAATCGTCTTCTTGAAAGAGATTTCGCTCAAGCTCCCGGAGCTCCTCCAATCCGTCTCGAATTGTCCATTCTACCTAAAAAACAGTTAGAAACGTATTGTTTACTGTTTAAGTTTACTGTTTTCTTGCTTTTTTTTACTTTTTTTGCTTATTCGCCTAATTTCTTTGATCAAAACAAAATATGAAACTTTTCAGGATGCCCGCAAATTTTCCTTTCGATGCGGCACATTTCGCCAAATTCCAGGAGAATTTCCATCGATTCATGCAACATATGCTCATCCAAGATTCGGTAAGCAAAATTTGGCAAAGAATTGTAACATTGTAAAATGTAAAAATGGATTATTAAAGAAAAAACACACTAAACTTTTCACTGAAAGAGCTCAAAAGTTGGATTCACGGCTGAGCTTTTCGAGCAGAATATTCAAGATTTGAAGAGTGTTTACATTTAAATCCAATTTCAAAACGTCCATTAGACAGGTTATTGATATATTGTAGAGTATTTCAAATTTCGAAACCGTTTTTCTTTTTTCAGAACAACAACGCTCAACTTGGTTTGCCAACCACTTCTGACACCAACCGGAACTCAAAGGAGGAAAAGAATCAAATCGTGATTCTCAACTTGCTCGAACCATCTGGAGGTTTTGCTGCACGAAAAGCCAAAGACTTACAATTGGCCACCGAAATTCTACGATCCATCGTCGATCAAATCAACATTGAAACAATCCATCGACACGGGAAATTTGCCTTCTCCCAACAGAAACCTCGAAAGCTTATTGTTCAACTAGCCACTAAAGATGATCAAATGAAGATCTTGAGAAATTCGGGGAAACTGAAGAAATCTGAAGACTGGAAATCGATTTCAATCAAAAAGCCTTTCCAACAAGAGCAAAAAGAGACGCGAGTTGAGAATGATCAAGGAAAACAGGTGAGCTAAGCTCAAAGCTTATACTTTACATATTATGGTTTAGTTTCTTCAAACTTATAGCTAGTTTGATTAAAGTTCCAATTAATCAAATGTATTTACTACAGTTTGACTAATTAAAATAAGCCTTCAAGAAACTAAACACTTTTCAAAGGTAAGTTGGAAAGAAGTCAATTTTGCGCACGAATATTGTAAAGATTAAGGACAGAGACTGGGACTTAACAATAGTTTCTAGTTTCATAAATTCAACACTTTACTATGAGCTTTACCTAAAATTACTGGTAATCATTTGACTTCTGACTACCTTCAGTATTATCAAAACTTTTAATTTGTTTAGACAATGCCATTCCTGGTCAACGCTTTCACTCAACAGCTCTCCGTGTCTCAATATCCAGCCTCATCAAATCCGTCGACTAAAAGAAAGAAATCGAAGCTGAAAGATGAGGTAAATAATGAATACCGTAAATGCTGTATTAGAATGATACTCCTCGAAAGCTTGACTTTAGACCCTTTTGTGGGAGTTCTATGGATAGATCTAAACCTAAAACCTACTAAAATTTTATCGGCAGTAAAATTTAAAACCCTATTTTGAAAAAAAATATAAAAATAATCTAGAACGGCCCTCCACATGGATTTTTTTTTTGGAGATCCAAATGGGGTAATAAAATAATTTCACTTTTAAACGTGTTTTTTGTGTTTTGTACAAAGGGCCATCGTTTAAAATAGTTTTTTTTGCTTTTGTTTTGTATTTTTGGTTCATGACCTATTTTTTTGGATCGGTCGATTTTGAGGGGTTTAAAAAAAGTAATAACATGTCATTCTAATACAGCATTTACGATAACCAGTATTTTTGAACCATTTAACTAACTAACTTTATAAAAAATGAAAAAAGAAAATCGTTGTGGGGGTCCACTTTTATGAGGCTAGCTAGGTTCAACTGTAAAACAATGACATTACTCTATCAAAAAAGAAAACTAACTCAGATATTTCAGACTGTTGAGACGGTGACAAAGTCGACCAAACCGGAAGTCCCATTGAATCCTTTTCGCAACTTCGACGCCGCCGAGCCGCCAACTGTTCAAAAAGAGCGAAACATTGTGATCATCGGTGAGACGGGAGTCGGAAAATCTACTTGGATCAATGGCATAGCGAATTACATAAAATTCGATTCATTCGATGATTCTTTAAATGGAAAGAAACCGACTTGCGTGATCCCAATGGAGTTCAACGTGTACACTGGGGAGAAGTTCGAAAAATCTATCGTTTTGATGAAGGCGCAGATATTAGAAAGTAAGAAAAACGAGGCCAACGCGAGTACGGGACAATCCTGCACACAAGCACCGAAAGTCTACAGATTTGTCACCGATACGGTGGCTTTCAATCTCATCGATACCCCGGGGATTGGTGACACACGAGGCTTGGAATCTGACATGGAAAATATGAGAATGATCATGAAATGTGTATCGAGATGGGATAAAATTCATGGGATTTGCCTTCTACTGAAACCGAATGTGAGTCGACTCACCCTGTCACTTCGATACTGCATCGTTGAACTGCTAACAAATCTGCACCGAAACGCAATTCCAAATGTTTCCGTTGTTTTCACGAACTCTTGCAACACTCTCTACAAACCAGGAGACACGATGACAGTCCTGAGAAAGCTTTTTGAAGACGTGAAGAATGAGAACCAAAACGAGATCCCACTTACCAGTACCAACACTTTTTGTCTGGATAATGAACCGGTGAGAATGCTCTACGCTCATCACAAAGGGGTTCAATTTGAGAAAGCCTGCGTCAACAACTTTTTGAAATCCTGGAATCACACTGTAAAGGAAACCTATAGATTATTTGATTCTGTCACCGATTTAGATGCACATTTGGCGAATGAGACGAAAGTGGTGAGCATTGTTCGTGCAGTGATCCATGAGCTGTGCACAATTTTGGCTGATTTTGAGGAAAGGATCAGACAAGAGCAAAAAGCTTTGGATCAACAAATGAATCTGCATAAGATTATGGAGCAGAAATTGGCTGATACGAAGAAAGAAGTTTTTCTAGGGACATACTTGAAAGAGACACCAATTTCCCAACCAAATACAGTGTGTTGTGGACCGAATTGCGTGGAAACGATTCGAGATCCGACGATGAATGCTTTGAAAACTTTTCACAAACGAGTTTGCTTTCAAAGCTGTTCAGTGCAAAATGTGCCTTTGAATCAAATTGGAGCCACGAATTTGCGTCAATGCCCAATTTTCGCCCAAGTAGGGAATTGCAGTGTTTGTGGATGCTCGTGGCAATCCCATATGTACATTTTGTACTCACAAACAAAGAGAGTTGGTGAGGTAAAAGCTGACAAAAAGAAAGAAGATGATCAAGTTACTCAACAAATTTTAAGCAAATCCTTGTACATGACTCAAAGCCAACAGGAACTTAAAGTTCTCAGGGAAAGGTATCAAAAAGCTCAACAACTGGCCAAGCCGTTTTTTGCGTTTCTTCAGGAGAACCTAATCGTTTCAGTGAATTCTGCTTTCGAGGAATATGCCGAATTCTCGATTGAACAATTGGAGCAAACAATAAAAACGGGAAGTGACCGATATGAGATTGATAAGCTGAAGAAGTTGCTTGCAATTCACCAACAGCAGAAATTCCTGGCAAGTGAGAAACCAAGTGAAGAGGAGAAGATCACTTTTGCGAACTATTCCCTGAGAATTTTAGAACTAAAAGATAATCTAATTGTTGGCACTGGCTTGCGAAAATCGTCCATTTATAAGAAATTATTTGATTTTCCGGACGTCGACGTTGTTGAAGTGGTCACAAAAACAAATCTCATTGTTCAGTATAGAAAGTGAAACGTTTGATTGTTTGAATAAATTTCTTATGTTTTTTTTTCAATTCAATAGCTGTCTGAAACAGTTGAATATGTTTGTTTTTCTGAAAGTTTATTAGTTATTTTAATTTAATTTTAAGAATGGCAAGCGATCCGATGTTCGCCTCAGCGACTGCATTTTTGAATGCCTTGGACAAGGAAAGTGACACTGAAACAATTGATGGACAGGCAAGTTGAAAAGCAGAAAGTTAAACAATAGATACTAGTTTTCTCGTTTCGTTTTCTAAACGACACCATTGAAACCTACCGTAGTCTAACGATAAGTATTCAAAGCCTAATTTTGGCTCAGTCAATGACGTAGAAATTTAACTTTGAATGGAAACTTATCGTTAGATTACGGTAGGTTTGCTTTCCTTTCTATACTACACTGTAGATGGCATGTCGATCTGATTCTGCAATCAGTGCAGTGTGTTTCAACAGTGATTGTAAAGACTTTAAACTAGAAATGAAACTGGTAGTAATATATAAAAGTTCACAGAGTTTTGTAGCTAAATTTACACGAACATTTCAGGCTGATGACCTCAGTGCAACGGAGTCGGCTTCTTTCGATCAAACATGCCAATTCAACCCTTCTCAACAGCCAATTCATTCCAATGATCGCGATGCAGATGTGAAGAAGAAAATCGTGCTTTTCAACCTACCCGAACCATTTGGTGATGATCAGATGAAAGAACAAGCCGATCGGAATGCTTTTCTACAAGTTCTATATGCGATCAACGCCGGAAGTTTGGCCGGAAATATTCGCGAGATCAAACGAGAAGGACAATTTGAACAAAATGGAAGACCTCGTCGTGTAATTGTGATATTCACCGATGAAAATGTGCAACGAAACGTTGTCGAATGTGCCCGGCAACTCTCAAAGATTCGTCAACTGAAACATCTAGCGCTTTATGCTTACAAATCACCGGTGGGTTGAGCTTATAATTAGGTTGAAAAAGCAATAAGAGTTTCGACAAATACAATTGCTGTAGTTTTACTTACTTGTCTCTAGTTTTATCCAAGTTAGGCACTACTTTTGAGATGATTCGGGGGGATTTCGATTGAATAAAATAGAGAAAAGATGCTTTGCAAAAGTGGACTTGAGATGAACACACTCTAGTTAAAACTTTGAGACAAATCTTACAAATCGATTCAGGCACAACGATCTGAACCACTTCCGAAACAACAAACGAAACGTCAAAACAACAAAGCACGGGTGAGCTCAAGAATACCCATAACTTAGTTTTGATTCCTTTTGCAAGACCGGTCATAATTCCAGGCTTGCATGACTTGTAAAAGGTTTTACAGAGCCATTTGAAACTTTTAGCCGACGAGAGCGGATGGGTATCAAGGTGGCACTTCTCGGAAGATTCCCGATCAAAAGTTTGAACAAAGAGGTAAGCAGGTTGTCGATTTTAATTTATTCTATGAAATGGAAATCCCCTCTCCGGAAATCTACTTTTTATTGCCAATTCCTTCACTTCTTTATTACTGAAACTGTCGATGTGTTTTGTGAACTATGAATACCTTCTGCATGACCAAAAAATTTAGGTCATAAACAAGACGGAACACCTTCGAACGTGCAGTCCAATGATGTGACTCCAAATCATCAACAACAAATCTTCAACAACTCTTTCGGATTTCAACACAATGGCGCTATGCCAGGTGAGGCTTAAAATCAGAAATAACTCCTATGGAACTTGGATTTCAGCTTAAGTAGATTCTTGATATAAAACCTGTAATACTTTTGAACAATTCAGGCAAGAGGCAACAAAATGGAATGAACGGCCAACACCATGCAAATCAACAAGCACCATTTCTACCGCAAATGTTCAACAATGCTTTTGGTTTTGCACCAAATTTTGCCCCGCCAGGTGTGATTTGAAAATATTATGGGATTGACAAAAGTTTGAAAGCAGCTCAAAAGGCCGATTGTGAGACTTGGAAACGCAAGAAGCTAAGGCTAAAAATTGGAAAAGTGTGAAGTTAACTGATAAATTTTTAGGAAATCCTCAACCGGTTCCACCAAAGCCTTTCAACCCAACCGATCCGCAATTCCAAATGATGATGGAAATGTACGGAATGTTTCTCAACTCTCAACAAGCACAACAAAGCAATCCTTCCGTGCCGTCAAATGTGCCAACATCAGCAAATGAGTTTTCTGAAGAAAGTGAAGAATCGGAGGAATCTGATGAAGAATCTCTGACTGAAGAAGAGCAAAACGATGAGCCAACAAATCAATTTTTCAAGGTTCAATCTGAACAGCACACTGGCACCAAGAAAGAGCTCAACATTCTTGTTCTTGGTGAAACGGGAGTCGGAAAATCAACTTGGATCAATGGAATCGCGAATTACATGAGCTTTGACACACTTGAGGATGCACTCAACGCTCGAGAACCGATTTGCCTTATTGCCAGCAAGTTCTCTTTCTACGAGTCAAATGAGACGAAGATTGACGTGAAACTTGAGCCATCGCACAGCGAGAAAGACGAGAATGAGTCATTCTCCGATCAGGGTCAATCGTCGACACAAGAACCGAAAACTTACCAATTTGAGACGTCCAAGTACATTGTGAATATCATTGATACTCCGGGAATTGGAGATACTCGTGGAGTTGAGCAAGACAAAGAGAATACAAGAAAAATTCTTGGCGCCATTGGACAGTACAAGCATTTGCACGCAATTTGCTTTCTCTTCAAGGCCAATGAAGCAAGAATGACATTGAGCTTCAGATATTGCATCAGTGAGATCTTACTCCAACTCCACAAAGACGCTGTTGACAATATTATCTTCTTCTTCACAAATGCTCGTGGCACTTTTTATAAACCCGGTGATACGATGACTCCATTAACCGCTTTTCTCAATGAATTGCACAAGGAAAGAGGACTTAGAATTGCACTCACGAATGATAAAATCTGTTGCACGGACAATGAAGCTTTTCGACTTGTCTGTGCTCATTTCAATGGAGCGAAATTCACCGAAGAAGACTTTCAAAATTTTGCAGGAAGCTGGAGACAATCAGCTGCTGAAACCCATCGTTTTATTGAGTTCACCGCTCGTCAACGGCCTCATCACGTTGCTGATACGGTTTCAATCAACAAGGCAAGAACGATCATTTTTCATTTAGCGAAACCATTGGCCGATGTGAATGAGTTGATTGAGTCGAATATCAAAGTATTTGATGAGAGAAAGAGAGATCTCCAAAATACAGCTGCAACTTTAGACGATTTGAAGAAAAAGCTTCTGATTCCACACATTGGAATAGAAGTCCAGCCGTTGAACTACCCGAAAACCGTTTGTGCTGCTCAAAGATGTATTGATACTATCCAATTGCCACACACTACTCAATACCAAACGATCTACAAACAGATTTGTCATGATCATTGCTATCTTGACAATGTTGACGTGGAAAAAGTACCTGAACCAAATCTTATCCACTGCGCGGCGATGTCAGCAGAGAATTGTGGAGTGTGTAGATGCCACTGGAGTACACATATGCACATCCGTTTTGAGCAAATCAAGACTAGTGTCCAAGTCGAAGACAAAAACACAAAGGTTCTCATTCAACAGAAACAAGACGCGAGTAAAGTGAAGGCGAAAATGATTCGGGATTGTGAGAATACAATCGATGAGTTAAAGAAAGAACAACAGAAGATCATCAGAACTTCTCTGCGATTTGGGAGCTTTTTGCAAGCCAATGCCATCCTTCCCTACAATGACGCCTTCGAGAAATACGTGGAGCAAACAATTTTGGAAGAGGAGAAATGCACGGATATTGGTGGTGATCGATCGAAATTGGATAATTTGAAAAAGCTTTTGGATGAGTATCGACAAGAGAAAGCTATGCTGATCGAAGCACAGAAGAATCCAATTGCAAATGGAGGGAATACGATTACTCCCGATGAGATTGAGGTGATGAAAGCGGAATTGTTCGGGCTGAAACACACGGGGAAAATTCTGAAGAACTTGTTTGCTGCGACGGAAGACGGGCTGGCAAAACATCAACAACATGTGACGGTTAAATACTCACCACCAAAGCAAGTTCAACCGGCAAACTTTGGGAAGTACAAGAAGACGGTCGAGAAAGAGATGTGGGTTTAAAAGTTCTTTGGTTACTGTGGAACTTGAAACTAAATTTGCATTTAAAAGCTTGCATTATAATTCTTGTATAATTCTTTTATTGAGAATTCTTATATAAATGAGCCAAAGTTTCACAAGTAAATCTGCTTAAAATTTTGGGTACTGTAAGATGGATTCAATAGATTTTAGTCTAAATTGATTGAAACTGATTAAACTGAAAATAAACTTTTCTGCTCGTCGCTGTTTGACGCGGCGCTGTTTTGGGATTGACCCACTGAGCCTTATGATTCCTCAACAAATGATACCAAAATCGAGCCAATTAAATGCAAACTGACAGTTTAATTATAATAGTTTTCTACAAAAGGTTTCCCCCTTGAGAAACGCATTGCTCACAAGGAACATACTTCAGTGTTGATTACGATAAAGTAAACCTTCAGTAAGCTTTTACACTCCACTTTTCAGCCCTGTGCCTTCGAGCAGTGGACGGAAGAATCAACAGCAAAACAACAACAAAAACAAGTACAAGAAGAACAAGAATAATAGAAAATAGAACCATTTCATGAAGTTGTGTTTTTTGTTCATTGATGTTCTTTAACTAGCAATCATTTCCTTTTTTCACAAACCTTAGTTTCTTATTCAATGATTTCTGATCAATAAATTTCTCTAGGTAACTATTTTGACTGCTTTTAGAAACGGTTTGGTCCCATCTCTATTGAGAACTTTTCATTCTCATGTTTAGTCTAGAAATTCAGTTGACTAGAGTTTTAGCTCATCTTTGGAATCATTTTTTGTGGAATGGTCTCTAGACTTCCTTCCTCTAATGATGCACAAGGTGGGTAACTAAACCAAGGATATTGTTCATAAACGTTTGTCATTTGGCACACTGACGAATTCTGATAACAAGACAGTAGGTTTCAATAACAATAACTTATTTTTTTCAGATGATATGACTTCTCAATTTCCCCACGCTTCACCGGTGCCGATGGAAACTGATGACATTGAGCTTGAAGCACCGACTTTGGCTGAGCAACAGGCAAATTTTAAGCGATTGGTGCAAAGATTCTGAGCCTAACCAAAATATCAGCAGCTTATTATAAAAGATTAAGGGTAAATTTTTAAAAATAGGATTTTTCAGAATTTCCCGGAACAAATGGAAGAAGTGGATGCTTCCAATGGAGTTCAAAGGAAAAACGGTTGCAATCAACACTTCGATACTGTAAGTTTTTTTTGTTAATCGACTTAATAGTTGGCTTTAGTTTATAATTTGCTTAATCCTAATTTAGGCTGAAGGATTTTTCAGGAAAGTTTTAATTGATGAGACCCCAATGAGACTTATTCGAAAATTATAACTAAGCAATTTTAGCCACTCGCCAGAAAATTTGACTCTGATCAACGAAGCGCTGTCGATTCGCTCAACGGACACCAAGGTGTGAATTTGATTCGTGAAGCCCAACTTAACGCCCACAATATCAACGCCCGTCTACAAGATCTATCACCCGAACAAGCGAAACTCTTCCTGAACACTTTAAGCAAGAATTTGTGGAGAGAAGACAAACAAGTGAGTGTAGTTATTTTACTAGAACTTAAAAATAAAAATGTTTTTATTAAAACGTTTCATTTTTTAAAAACTACAATCTTACAGACAAAATTATGATAATTTTCAAATGTTAACACCGCTCTATTAAAGGATTAAATACCATCTTCGAATATGAAACGAGATTTTCAGGAAGATTTCTCGAAGGAACCATTGGAGAAAGCTGTGGATGACTTCATTCTATTGGATCTTTCGGATGAAATTCCGCCAATTGAAACAAAACAACCAAGTGATTGCAATTCATCAAATGATCCACAAAACTTCATGAATCCACGAGAGAACACAATCGGACCAATTGTTGCTGATATCTACGAAGACAACAATCCAAGAAAACTTTTTGGAACTTCTCAAATCTCTCAAAAAAGCAACATTGACCGGAAATTTGAAGATCAAGATGTCGTCTCAGCTGCAAAACCGAAATTCTCCTTCATCTCCTCAAACACTTCATTCCACGAGTGCCAAACAAATGTACAACAACTTGTCAAGCAATTTGAAAAAGCTCCGAATTCTGATTGGCCTCCAAGATTGACCTATGATTTGAAGCCGACTCAAATGAAATTCCCGCCGGCTTTCGAAGCTCCAACTTACGAAGATTCTCAACTTTCTGAAAATTCAAGATATGGACAAATTTCCAACTCAAATCAAAAATCTTACTATACAACTATTGAAACTGAGAGGGAAAATGGAAATGGATCAGTTGCAAAGCCGAAAGAAGACTCCCTGATGACCCCAATTGGTTTGCGCTTGTCTGCTCAGCGAAGTTCATCGGTAACTGAAAACACATCGAATTCTCAGAAAGTTTCAGATCGTTTGAGCCGAAGTACTTCCAAGAAAATACATGGTGATTTGGAAAAAGAAAAGGAAAATGTGAATGGATTTTTGTTTTCGAGAAGGAGTTCAAGTTATGAGGCTGCTTCAAAGAACCCGACCAGCTTGAGCTCTGAGCACTCGAGTCAACTGGCTCGTTACTCGACAAGTTTTGGATCTAAAGACAACAACGAAAATGAGCCGTTTGCAAATAGGAAGGGAGATCTTGATGATGTAAAGAGTCACTGTCTTTCTTCTCAGTCTCAAAGCACTTCTGATAATAAGTCAACTGTACAAGTCCTGAATGTAGAGACGAAACGACCTGCTTATACAAGAAGCTGGAGTCAAGTTGTGCAAGGAAAACCGGAAAAGCATGAAAGCTACAAGAGCCAAAACAATTCAAAAGTGTGTTCAAGTACGAGTAAAGCTAAGAAATCGGAGCCTTCACCAGCCATTATTTCCGAAACTTGTTCAAATCAGCCTAGATACACTCCTCCATCGCAAGAAATTTCTCTCGAAACCGTCAAAACGCAGGTACCCAAAGTCAAAAAAGAGAAAATCGAGTGGCTACAGAAGGAAAATGTCAAAGTGCGAGGATTCGGCTCAACAACGAAAAAGTCGATCAATATTTTGGTGCTCGGACAGACAGGAGTCGGGAAATCAACATGGATAAACGCTCTTGTCAACTATTTAACTCACAAAACGCTAGACGAAGCAATTGCTGCCGAGGCGCCGATTTGCGTGATTCCAACTAAATTCACAATGTATGACAACAATTATCAGAGACACGATGTCCATCTTGGAGTACACGACAATGAGGTTTTTGCGGACAAGGGTCAATCAGCCACTCAAAGCGCTAAGACGTATCTGTGTGAGCAAGATGAACACAATATTTATATCATTGACACTCCAGGAATGAATGATACCAGAGGACACTTGAAAGATGAGGAAAACATTCAGAATATTCTTCGATCAATCGCACCTTTCAAAAAGATCCATGCGATTTGCTTTCTTTTCAAAGCGAATGAGGCTCGTCTCACGGAATCTTTCCGCTACTCGATCGGGAAATTGCTTGGGAATTTGAGTAAAGCGGCGCTCAACAACGCTTGCTTCGTTTTCACAAATGCTAGAGGAACTTTTTATCGACCGGGTGATACAATGGGACCGTTGAAGGCTTATTTCAATGAGCTGAAGGAGAAAGAAGGACTTTCAGTGAGAATTGATGACAGCAACATCTTCTGTTTGGACAATGAAGCTTTCCGATTTGTTTGTGCTCATTTCAGTGACATTCAATTCGATACAAGGGAAATAAAAACGTTTGGTGATAGCTGGAAACATTCGTCGAACGAAGTACAGAGATTGTTGGATCACGCTGCACGAGCTCGTCCGCACCACACCTCGGACACGCTGTCAATCAATGAGACTCGAACTTGGATCTATCAGTTAATCGATCCAATTCTCAAAGCTTGTACAATGATTCAGAGAAATTTGCTTGATCTTGATCAGCAGAAGGAAGAGCTGATGCAAGCTGAGAACAATGTTGAAGAATTGAGGAGATTGGCGACGATTCGAGTGACTTCAATGGAAATCTTAACGCTATCGATGCCCCAAACCGTTTGTCGGAGTCAAAAATGTGCAAGATATGAAAGGATTGATGGAAAAGAAGAGTTGATCTACAGGGTTTGCCACAAAGATTGCAAACTAAGCGATAATGAAAGACTTGACGAATGTGCAGTCTTTGGTCGTAACCAGCTCTGCACTGAATGCTCCTGTCACATAAATGATCACGAACGAATCTCGTACGAACAACGAATGACCACAAAATCTCTGGAAAACCCGCAAAAACTCGCCTCACAAGCGAATGCGGCCGAGATGAAGAAAAGCTCCATTCGAAAATTGCAGCGACTCATCGATGGATATCAAAAAGAATCCAACTACATTTTGTTCGCAATGGCAACTTTTTCTGGGTTCCTTGCTTGGAATGGGATCACTCAGAAAACGAATCTCTTTGAACAACACTTACAGAAACTGATTGTGGCTGAAGAAAAGAAAATGAAAAGCGTAGCTGGGGTGGATGCGGATGAATTCAATCAATTGCTCGAACTCAGTGTGACTTATGGAGATATTTGCAAACAATTTGTTTATCAACGAGACTCGGCAAAGATCTCACTTGATGCCCTGCAAGAAATTCGACAAAAGTTGTTCTCTTTGCCGCTGAATGGCGCAATGATTGCACAGATTTTCGATATTCATGTGAAAACCGATCATCAGGATTATGAGGCAACTGTGACACGCTGCGAGAAATCGATGTTTCAGTGAGTTTTGCGAAAAATAGATAGAAAAATAGAGACATAGATATAATAAGTCCCAGTCTTTTTGCTCATTGCATTATATTGGAATAATTTAAGCATAGCCATTTGCACAAATCCAGCTCGTGCAGCTGATTTTTGAAGTCACTAACTATCTAGCGTTAAAGATAGCCATGAACTTTATCAAAGAAAATTGAATGTGAAAAGACTTTTGCACATGACTGTAATTTCTAGCATATATTCTTGAAACTTTTACAGTACTTCAGAAAATGGCGATAAATTATAAATTTTAGAAAAATTTGTGGTGGTGTGAAGAAAGTGCTCTCGTTTCTTGGTGGCTCCACCAAGAATCCAAGAAAATTATCGAAATTTTTCCTTTGTCCCGAACCATTCGATTAATGATGAGAAAAACAGCCTTTTACATAAATCCAGCTCTTGTGAATCCAAAAAATTGCAAAATGGCAACTTTTTCATCACTTCGCTATGAATTAAGAGTGCTCCGTGTGAGTAGTTTTCTAAAAGGTGGACAATTTGCGAAGAGCTACCGTAACCTTTCCTTCGAAATTTGCCCTTTTCACTTAGTTTTGATCTTGACGATTTGGTTCCTCATCAAATGTGATCAAAATTAAGTAAATCGGACCAAATCTAAAAAAGACACGGTAGTTTTAGAAGTTATCCAGCTTTTAGAAAACACACTATTCACGAGGAACATATCGTAAATATGAATACTAGAAAATTACCGATAAATCATGAATTTCAGATGGGTCTCTGCCGGTGTGAGTGGCGTGAAGAAGAGGTTGAAGTCATTTTTTGGCGGCTCTCCAAAATAAAAATCGAGAACCGTGTCGAACTATTTCATTTTGTCAATAAACTATCTACTATGCTTTGTTTCATTTTTTCGATTTGGTTATCTCATCCAAGAGATTTTCTTGATTGAATTTTAAATACTAGTTACTTGTCAAATTATCGTTTTAAGCAAAACAAACTTTTTTGCAGATCGATGCCTCACTTGCAAAACAGCGCTTTCCTCTCGTCGGATTCGTCGGATGCCGAGAACGAGAATTTCGAGCAAGTGAGTGGAAATTTCTTTACCTAAGCATTAAAACATTGGAGCAATCGAAGATTACTTTACTTTTTAATACTAGGGCTAATGGGAAGACCTACGACACGACAACTCGACGCAATTTTGCAAGCTTGGATGTGAATTCCACCACAAACGCATCAAAACTTAGTGAACTCGATGAAAAGTCGACTACTCGACGTCATCCAGAAAAAGCGAGCATCTATTGATTATTAAGGAACTTTTCATTCGTTTTTCTTTTGTCTATTCTCAAATTTACTGTTATTTTTTATGTGGTCCTATCATTTTGCAACAGGTGTTAAATAAAGAAGTTGTTATAATTTTGTTGGAATTTGTTCAGATAACGTTAAAAATGGTATATATGCCTATTTTTGTATATGTCGCAGCCGCTCGTGATTTTCAGCCGCTAGTGATTCAATCACCATCGGCTAGCCGATGGTGATTGAAAGTTTTTTTAACATTTGGAATACAATGCAGATTTATCTCACATGCAAATAAAAGTTAGGTTAATAGGACCAAATATTTTAACACCTCGAGAGGTAACTTCTGTTGTCAAATTCGAAAAATTATGTCATCTAAATGAAAGTAAATTTTGCTTAATATTTTTGCTTTATGAATTGCAAGTTTTATTCACTTTTCAGTAATTTATTGCAAACATATAATAAGCAAACAAGCTTAACAACAAAAAATTAATTAACAACTTCCCTAAGGTGCAACACAACAAAATCAAGTTTCACTAAAAAATAACTAAAAATTAAATGTTACTTGTTTGAGCAGGGATTGCTGTTGTAACATCGACTGTTGCACAAAACGTTCGACTTGTGCCATACATATCGACCATTAACGCATCCATTTGTACACTTACAGTGCTTGTGCCCTAAACAAAAGCAATTAAACAAACGCTACAAAAAATACCTTTAGATCCGGTGAGAGATTCGGCGCCGACTGCTGAGCGAAATGATGTCTCCTTTTCGGGCACATCTTCAGCATCGATGAAATTGTTGTTTGCTGGCACAAACTGGTTGCGAGTCAACCTATAAAATTATTTAATAATCAACAACAACAAACAAACTTTTGAGGGAGAATTCCATTTGAAGTGCCAATTTTGTAAAATCCGTCGTTTGCTTCTAACACAACTCCGAAAAGAGAAGGATGCCCAATCTTCGGTCTATCCACAGTATCGATTGGAACTCGAACAGTTTTTCCAACATCAACAGGACCATATCTAAGAAAAAAAGCATAGTTAAGTATCAATTGAATTAATAATTATTGAAAAGCAGGCATTATACCTGTTTTTAAAAGATTCGAGCATCTTCTCGGCTTGCTTTTGTTGAAATCTGACGGCGCCAGCTCGATGCTGAAAAATTTTCTCATCAATACGATTCAATTCTAAAAAATGTAGATCAACTAAAAAAAGAGTTTAAGCGAAAAAATTAACCTGCAATTGTGCTATCCGTTTCAATGCTTTCAACTTGATGTTGCAAGGCTTGGTTCCATTCTAAAACGAGGCGTTTGGCCAACTAGATAAAAGAATTAGAAGGCAAAATCAACCTGAAATCGGTACTTCTGCGTCTTCAGCTCGATGTGGTACATTTTCCTTATTCACATGATACGATCCTAAAATAAAAAGTTCAATTAAATCATAATCAAAGCTTTACTGACCTGCATCTGTGCATTCCTTGACAATTTCATCATACTCTTTGGGATCGGGCCAATAAGTCGGATTATCCGTTAAAGCAGCCTTGATTGGCTTGGTCCAATCTTCAAATTTTTTCGGGCTCGGGCTCGATTTCCTAAAGCAAAAAAGTTAAACAAAAACTAGAAACATTAACCTCCGTATTTTCTGGTAAATTTCTTTCATCATTGGACGGCTCAAGGGTAAAACCGAGCGTTAACTTTCTTCCAAACTACAAAATTAGCATATTTAAGTTTAATTCCACAAATTATACCATTGCTTCGAAAGGGGAACGTCCAATACCTCGATGATAACGTCGGTTTTTCATTGATTGAACAATTGGGAGAAGTCGAACCCATTTTGTCAATTTTTCTTCTCGCAACTGTGTACAGAGGATACGCTAAACAATAAAAATTAACGTTTTTCAAAAAAGTTAAAATTGGAATAATCAAATCAACTTACTTCGATGTCTTGATTGCATCTTTCAACTGATCCTTCGCTCTGCGAGTGTCGAGGGCGACCATGTACGATTTGGCAGCTCGGCCAGCGTTTATTTCTTCAGGAGTCCTTTTTCCTTTTGTATCTTCACTGGTTATTCGTTTGATCGTTTTCACTATTTCGGCGTGTTTTGTGACATCGGGAATCCAATTGTATTTCTTCGTAGATTGATGTTGCGTAAGGTGCTCGACAAATTTACTTTCCATTTCTAAAAAAATAACTAGAAAAGTTGCAACGATACACGAGATAAATCGAAAAAAAAGAAACGATTGAAAAATTATTACTCAACTATTACTTTCAATAAAAATTATTACTCATTAAACACCGAAGAAAGTAATAGTTTGTGTCTAAAAGATGGAATGAGTGGCGTTGTTTTCAAAATTTTTTCGAAAACATCTTTTTAAAAAGATTTGGCAACAAAAGGCAACAATTTGACAACAGAAGTTACCTCCCGTGGTGTTAAAATATTTGGTCCTATTAACCTAACTTTTTTATTTGCACGTGAGATAAATCTGCACTGTATTCCAAATGTTTCATTAAAAAAACTTTCAATCACCATCGGCTAGCCGATGGTGATTGAATCACTAGCGGCTGAAAATCACGAGCGGCTGCGACATATACATTTCCAGGATTTAAAAGCTATTTCGTGTTATTAAATTTCATAGCTAAAAAAATGTAAAATTTAGCGGTGGTCCTATCATTTTGCAACGCACCTTATTCATTATATCGAACATCATATCAAGGTTGCTGTTGACAAATGTCGTCTCGTTCAGCTCACGGTTCACCTCCAGTAACGGCCACCTATCCTTATCCTCATCGGAAATGAATAGCTGCATAGCAAAACATCGCTCGTTTTGAAAATCGCTCAAAATTCTTAACACTGCCACTAGGTGATCATGGCTTTACCAGTGGGCCAACAAATCCCAAATCCGAGCTTCCGATCTCGTGGAAAGCCAAACGGACACAACCAATCTGGGTCTGGCAATGGGCGAGTAGACAATTTTCAAAAAATTCTGATAAAATATTAGGTTCCTTGTGATAATGTTTGTACTCCAAGGAATCTCCGAGATTCATCCCGTAACCTGAAAAGCTTTCCCTTTAAGCTAAGACGCCATCAACTAGCTCCGTTCATAACAAACCTTCATTTTCAGATTACTCGCAACCACCGAGAACACAGCCCGTTTCTTCTACTCAATATTTTCCATGCCGGGACTGTATCGCCTCCGTCTATCTCTTAAAAGAATCTCACTGTGCTTCGCACAGTGAGATTTCTTTCGTATTGACCTTACTTGCTCCTGCAATTCTCATTGCCAAGAACTAATCAAAAAGACAAAACAGTGAACGTATCATGATGATTCGCAATTTTAATTTTGATTTTGTTCCGCATTTTGATTCGCATTTGTGTTTACAGGAAGTCTTGAAAAAGTTTGAAAAACATAAACATTGAAAATTTGAAAATAAACACAAGGTTTGAAACAGAAAACAGAATAAAGAGTCGACTGGACGGCTCTCACAAAAGCAAACCATAAAATCCATAAATTAATCATGATCACGATATCTATTTGTGTTTTAATCGGAGTCAGTAGTGAGTTTTTTTGATTAGGTTGTAAATTGGAACGATTGCTACACATAGAGTTTGGAATTAGCCTGGTTTTTAGGCCATCGACAAGACAAAAAAGATAAATCTAAACCAAGACTTGGAAAAATGATTCGCAAATTATCAAACAATTCTCGACAGTCTACAACAAGGCACATTTCATTTGGTCACTTAGAAATCCTAAGTGAGGCTAAAACACTAAAAAATAAAAGATGAGAAATTAACTCAAATACTTTAACAATTGATTTTTAAAGTAACATTAAACAAGAAAACCTAATTCCATTTAAAAAGTTATTTATGGGCCTTGTGACATTTGAGAAATGCATCCATCGTGGCCAAATGGAAAGCAACATCGAGCTTATCACATGCTTTTTGAAGAGATTTCTGAAGCGGATCAATGCTGGGATGCGGTTTTGAGCATGTTGTTGCTTCAAGAACAATCGAAACACTGAAATCCATCGAATTAAGATTGGGATCTGAGGATGGCCACTAAAAGTGGCAAAATCGGGAAAATGCTGCTTGCGCCAGTCCTGAATCACTCGAGCCTTGTAAGCATTAGCATCATTTTGCATTTGCCATTTGCACCAAATTCTGTTGGCAAAGTGATTTTAAAAGTTTATTTTACAATTATCTGAAAAATTACAAAAATACGAAGAAACTGTGTTGTCAATTTTAAAACAGAAGATTGAAAATTTGGTAGAAAAATAAAAAAAAAATTTTTAAGCCAAATTTGATGCAGAAGAAAGATATTAAACTTAAATAAAAAGATAGGTGATTGGAATTTCTATTGTAAGGTCTGTTTCTCTTCAAAAATCTCTCTCCTTTGTTCTCTCATTTGGGGAAGATGCGGCGAAGCTTGCCGATGAAACCACGTCTGAAAATGTTCAAGTGTTTTTAATCTTGCCAAGTATTTTGTAAGACCAAAAGCTTAGTACTGTAACCCGGTAAAAAGTATTAAATTGACACTAAGTAACAACAATATCTTTGTCTTTATCTAAATATTCAACTTAACCCACTTCTTTCCACCACCAGAAGAAGAGGCTGCAGTGTACGTTGGTGGGGCAAACTTTTGCACGCTTTGTTGTTGATTCATCGAATATCCGCGCACAGTTTGCTCAAAGAGTTCTTTGAGTTTTGCTCCAAAATGAGGCAATGCGAAGAGGATGGCTTTCATATTCTTGACATCATCAGTGGTGATCTGTTGCTGATGGTTTCCGCCGGATTGCAAGGCGTGCTCGATAGCGGCTCGTTCTGGAAAGAGATTCATTGCTTAACGTAAATTGTTCAGTGTTTTTATACTATCAGGTTATTTTTGCATTAGAGTGTGTTTCTCTAAAACGTTTCTTTTTTTTTCAACTACCTTCAAAGTTCAAACTGTTAAGTACACCTCCAATTTCAAGTGGTCTTACTTTACTAACATTGCTGAAGAGTTCACCCCGTCAACAACCCCAATCTGGCGCATTCCTCAGGACTCAACAGTGCACTAGAAAAGGTGCTTTTACGTTTAAACACAAAGTACACCTTGGTCTCGTACTTGAGCAAAGAGCCTCGCAAACGCGCCCCATCTAGTGCACCACTGAGAATCCGAGTGCCCAAGGATTTGTAGTAAATGGAGAATTCAGTCCACCAGAAGGGGTATGTCCATATATTTTGAGCACAAAGTACACGCAATGTTCTGTCTTTAGTCCTGATTAAAAATTCAAGTTCCTTAGTGATCATCAAAAACCACAGACCTTGTCGATACTCGTCCAAAGAGCGCTTCAGATTGGCCAGTTTCGTTCGATCTCCGCCCGCTTTGATACATTTTTCCTCTTCTTCAATCGACTTTTCCACATATTTCTCAAAAACATCATTATAGGTCATAATCGCATTCTGCTTCAAGAAAACCGCGAAACGAATACTTGCATCCATCACAGTTTTCTGTTCATCTTTGTATTCTTTCACGATTTTCTCACAAGATTCGATAATTTTCTGCTTTGTGATTCGAGCGTCTTCATTCGTTTGAATCGCATTTTTTATGTTCACATCTTCAACTGATTCGTTTGTTTTCACTTGCTTGAAGCGAATATGCATGTGAGTAGACCATAAACAACCACAAACTGTACAACTTTGCCCACCCTGCATTGCCCAACATTGTTGTAGATGAGGTTCGGGGAATCTCTCGGGATCAACGTTGTCCAATTGACAGTGATCATGACAAATCTGTTTGTAGATCGTTTGCAATTGTTCACTGTTTGGAATCGATTGCGTTTCGATGCATTTCGGGCCAGTGCAGACGGTCATCGGATAGCTGAGTTCCTCGGTTTTGATTCCAATTTGTGGGATCAACAACTTCTGTTGCAAATCATTGATCGTCGCTTTCGTGTTTTCAATCTCGACTTTTCGATCATCATACACTTTGATATTTGTCTCAATCAATTCATTAATGTCAGCCAAGGGTTTAGCGAGTTGGAGAATGATTCCACGAGCTTGATTCACTGAGAGAGTCTTGTCAACAGAATGCGGTTTGCATCCGGCCGCATAGTCAAGGAAGCGATGCGTCTCATCGGCCGATTTTGCCCAACTTGCTTCGAAATTTTTCATGTCATCCTCGCAAAACTCAACTCCATCGTGATAGGCACAAACAAATTTGAACGCCTCATTATCCAGACAAAAGATATTGCTCCGATCGAGAGCCACTTGCATCCCGTGTTTCGCTTGAAGTTCATCGAGGAAAGCTCTCAACGGGACGATTGTATCACCGGGTTTGTAAAAAGTCCCGCGAGCATTCGTGAAGAAAAACACTATATTCTTGGCGGCATCTTTGTGCAATTGAAGTAGCAACTCTCCAATGCAATATCTAAAGCTCAACGTCATCCGAGCGTCATTCGATTTGAACAATAGACAAATTGCATGTAAATTTTTGTAAGCTGCAATTGCATTCAGAATTTTCCTCGTATTCTCCTTGTCTTGCTCAATTCCACGAACATCTCCAATGCCGGGGGTGTCGATGATATAAACATCATATTTCGGGTGTGGGAAGAGATAAGTTCGAGCGTCTTGTGTCGCACTTTGTCCTTGTCCAAACACTTCATTCGTCGAGTTTCCGATGACAATTTGTCGTTGCTGATAATTCTCATCGCACATCGTGAACATTGATGGAATGACACAAATCGGCTCTGGTGCTTCCAATGCATCAACGATGTGATCAAAGCTCATATAGTTGGCGATGCCATTGATCCACGTCGATTTTCCGACTCCCGTTTCACCGAGTACAAGAATGTTGATCTCTTTTCGAGGGCCAGAGTATTGGTTGTTCTTTGATTGATGGGAAGTGGGTAAGTCCGGCAAAACTGGCGGATTCTTCGACGAACTTGGCTTGCCTGGAATCCATTTTAATTGAAAAACAGTTATGTTTTATTTACCATTTTGTGGTTTTGGCTTGGATTTCTGTGGAACGGGAGTTTGTGATGCTGAGTAAGCGGGTGGAGCCTGGGGTAGCTGTTGAATGCCTAAAAATTGAGTTCTTAAATGTTTAGCTTCATCAAAATTGAAGCATTTTCTAAAAGGTACGCTTAGGCAACAAATTAAGTATGTATGTATTTTAAATTAAATCAGCGAGACTGTATCTAAATGCCTGGTGACTAAATTTGGGGGTTTAGCTCATCCAAATGAACCATTTAGAAGTTTAAGCGTCCCTTCAAATTCATTACATCAAAACTTTCAAAGTTGCAAAGTCCTTACCTTGCATTGGTTGCATTCCATAGCCCGGGAAAGCTGGATTTGGATTGAATGCCCCATTTTGTTGCATCGATTGTTGCGCTTGCAGCTGCATTTGTTGCATGAAGAACATCTAGAAGAAAATGTTTTGCACCAATCAAACTTGTAGCTACCATTTGTTGCATAAAATTTGGATCTTGCATGAATCCCATCATGTTTCCGTTGGGCATCTGTTGAACTTGAGGTGGCATTTGAGGAAAGCCCGGTTGCGGGGAGACCATTGGAAATTGCTTGAAATTATAGTTTTCCATAAAAGCTTAAACTTTACGCAGAATATAAATAAAAATGATCTTGCTTAAAATCTAAAAACACTTCTCTTCATACCGATGGCATCCCATTATCAGCAAAATTCGGAGGCCCGGCATTGTTTGAATGTGGAGCTGATTGGAATTGCTGAAATTATCACTTGAAAGCATCACATGTTATAATTTCTTTAAAGAATATGAAAGTTGTGTGAGTACCGGCAAATTTGGAGTAGGTGCAGTTGGAATCCCGGCAGGAAACCATTGGCAGGACATCGTTTGCCGGGCAGAATCGTTTGCTAAAAACTCGTAATGGATCAATTTGCAAAGAAAATTTTTTAATGCATAGCACAATACAAAATTCATTGTTTTTATTCTTTACCTTGCGGTGTAGCGTCAAATCGTTGAGGAATCACCGATGAAGAGTTGGACCTTTGTTGATGCATCGGTGGCGAGAGAGCGGTCAACACGGGCACTGGACGAGGATTTGCGATCTGAAAGTTGATATGCAGATGAAGATTATGAATAAATCAACCTGTTCTCTGTAAGGCAACCTCAAAGAAATTAAAAATTCACTGTAAACCATTGCAAAAAGATACATTTACATACAATTTGAGGGAACTAGGAATTATTTCTGATTAAGATCAAGTAAGTTTTCAAAGATTTAAGAGGCACTAATGGAAATAGCGTTACCCTAGTATTAAAAAGGACAGTAATCCTCGATTTCTCTAATGTTTTAATGCTTCGGTAAATAAATTCCACTCACTTGCTCGAAATCCTCGTTCTCGGCATCCGATGAATCCGACGAGAGGAAAGCGCTGTTTTGCAAGTGAGGCATCGATCCGTAAAGCAGTTTGTTTTGCTTAAAGCAATAATTTGACAAGTAAACAGTATTTAAAATTCAATTAAGATAATCTTTTGGATGAGATAACCAAATGGAAAATCAAACAAAGCATAGTAGATAGTTTATTGACAAAAAAGAAATTTCGATATTTTCTTGGATTATTTTGTGGAGCCACCAAAAAACGAGAACACTTTCTTCACACCACCGCATACTTTTCTAAAATTATAATTTATTGCCATTTTCTGAAGTGCTGTAAAAGTTTCAAGAATACATGCTGAAAATTACAGTCATGTGCAAAAGTCTTTTCACATTCAATTTTCTAAAAAGTTTCATCAATTTTCTTTGATAAAGTTCATGGCGCTCTTTAAGCTATTAATAGTTTTAATTACACAAATATATGTACAATTTATTTACACAAACGTTATCGCTATACAACACTTATTCATCGAGAAAAAAATATAATTGTCAAAACACCCCTGAAAATCGTGGTGCAAAAGTCTTTTCACACAAAACGAAATTAAGCTTTAATCAATATTTAGTCGCTCCTTCTTTTGCCAAAAGTACCTCTTTAATACGGTTAGGCATCAATGCAATTAATTCATCAAGAATTCCAGGTCCAATAGTTCTCCAAATTTTTCTGATGTAAAACGATAGCTCGACTTTAGAATTGAATCGTTTTCCTCGCAATTTCAATTTCAAATAGGCCCATAAATTCTCGATAACATTTAAATCCGGTGAGAATAGTGTAGCTTTGATCAAAGATACGTGATTGATCCGGTAAATGTGCTTTTCCTCCATTCGAGAGAGTCACAACGCGGTTCATCAAAAGTTTGCGTTTGTGTACCGGCAAAATATATCTTGATAAAGAAACCATCCTGGATTCATCGAAGCAGTCGCAAATAGAAGTAGTCATCTGTCCAATATTTCAATATATTGGTGGGAATCCATTGTTGATTTACGAGGACAAGTGGACCCGTTGAACTTTTACACAACATACCTAAAGAAATCATGTTGAGCTGCATAAAAGGAAAATTATCCTTACCGAAACACATCATTGATCCTCCGCCTGTTTTCACCGTAGGCTGCAAGTACTTGAGTTGATCTTGCTTTCCGATTGGACGTCGGATCAGATGATTTCGATTTGAAGGAAAAATATCAACTTTTGTTTCATCAACAAAAATCATTCGGGCCCAATCATTGATTGTCTAATTTGAATAGGTTCGAGCAAATTGAAGGCGTTGCCTACTGTGTTTGGCTGTCATCATAGGCTTGAAACCAGGTCTTCTAGTATACAATGCTGCTTGAAGCAGGCGCGATGCAAGGTCCAACGGGAAATATTCTTGTTTGAAGTTTGCTTGAAAAGAATGGCTCCATCGTTCCACGTTAAATTCGGACCCTTCTTAAAAGCTCCCGTAAGGAATCGGTTTTCATTCTTTGTTGTAATCCACGGCCGTTTTGTTTTCCTACATCTGTGCAGATTTCCAGACGCATTCATTTTTGCCATAACAAGAGGAACTGTTGTGGGCGTACATCCTAAGAGACGAGCAACGTCTTGTCGTGGCATTCCTTCCTTCCTTGCCTCGACGATCCTTTCTTTATCCGGAGTTGACAAATACGCGCCTGGCATCTAAAAAAAATAAATTAGTACCAGTAAACAAGAAGCGAACGAAAATAATCAAAAATTTTTTCAAGTGTTAAAAGACTTTTGCACGATTTTCAGGGGTGTTTTGACAATTATATTTTTTTCTCGATGAATAAGTGTTGTATAGCGATAACGTTTGTGTAAATAAATTGTACATATATTTGTGTAATTAAAACTATTAACAGCTTAAAGAGCGCCATGAACTTTATCAAAGAAAATTGATGAAACTTTTTAGAAAATTGGATGTGAAAAGACTTTTGCACATGAATGTATCTTCATAAATGTTAGTTTAGATCTTGGAGTTCATTTTGTGAACCTTTTTCAATTATTTTAAGCTCTATTTTATTTAGTTTTTTATTTATCTGTTTTATTGGGTTGGTGAATTGAAAACTGCGGGACTTTGAACTAAAATTTATTCAACATAAAACCATAAATTCATTCTAAATAATTTCCATTATTATTGACGACTTCTGCCCATGTTACAGGCAATTTGCGGATTCCTCTTTCGTGGTAGGATTTTGGTTTTGAATCGAAAAACTTTCAAAGCCAATTTTTGACTACTTCTTCCGAATCGAAGTGTTCTCTCGCAAGCTCATTACTCATGGTCCGGAATAACTAGTAATCAGAAGGGGCAAGGTCCGAACTGTATGGGGGATGTGCCAAAAGTTCCCAACCAAGGCTGTTTATTTTAGAGCGAGTCAGTTTTGCAACATGAGGGCGCGCGTTGTCGTGAAGGAGAACGATCTCAGACTTGAAGGGCCTATTCTTCTTTAGGGATTCATTCACCTTTCCCAATAGTTCACTGTATTTGATTGCATTAAGGGTCGTCTTGCTATCCAGCAACTCCCAGTACACCACTCCCTCCATATCCCAGAAAACGCAGAGCATAAGCTTCTTCTGGTGCAAATCGGGCTTAGGGTCACTTTCTGGTTTCTCGTCTGGCCCCACCCATTTCCGCTTGCTCCGAAAGTTCAGAGATAAAACCCATTTCTCATCTCCTATCACAATTCGAGAAAGAAAAGATTTCCTTTTGTATTGTGAGAGATGGACGGCACTGATCGAGGCGCGCTGCCACTTCTGGGGGTTATTAAAGTCATGGGGCACCAAAGCCCCAAGTTTCGATTTAAATCCAAGGGTATGAAGGTGCCTTAGCACTGTAGCATGATCAACCCCTAACTCTTCTCCCAATTCACGCGATGATACCCGATGGTCGTTGGTCATGAGTTCGAGCAATTCGGAATCATCCAGTTGGAGTGCCGCTCCACGGCCCTCTGCATCTTTCAAAGATTTGACCCCAGATCGAAACTTGGCAAACCATACTTGACACGTTCTTTTGGAAGGTGAGTCCTCTCCATATATCTTTTTGATATTAGCAGCTGCCAAGCCTGCACTGTGCTCTTGTAGGAACTCATGAAGCATGACATGACGAATATGTCCCGATGGCAGATTGTCGAATGCAATAGAAGAAGTGAAGAAAAATACCAAAAAATAAAAAGCTGGAAGCATAATTTTAATAATTAGAGGAAATTTTGAAGTAAACAAGCCCCGCTTTCAGCTAGTTCTACGCTGTTGTTTTCTTTATCTGCGAGTCCCGAAGTTTTCAATTCACCAATCCAATATTTATTTAGTAGAGCTCTATTTAAGCTTTACCAAATAAATAAAACTTTAGCTCTACTATTTTAAGCTACTTGCTAGGCCTCAATGAGTGATGCGTTTTCTAAAAGATGGCTAATTCGGAAAGCTACCTTCTGGAAGACGCATTACTCTAGGGTTAATCTAGGGTTATCTGAATGCTAGATAGTTAGTTACTTCAAAAATCAGCTGCAAGAGCTGGATTTGTGCAAATGGCTATGTTTAAATTATTCCAATATAATGCAATGAGCAAAAGACTGGGACTTATGGTATCAATGTCTCTATTTTTCTATCTATTTATCTATCTATTTTTTGCAAAACTCACTGAAACATCGATTTCTCGCAGCGTGCCACAGTTGCCTCATAGTCCTGATGATCGGTCTTCACATGAATATCGAAAATCTGTGCAATCATTGCGCCATTCAGCGGCATAGAGAATAACTTTTGTCGAATTTCTTGCAGCTCATCAAGTGAGATCTTTGCCGTGTCTCGTTGATGAACAAATTGTTTGCAAATATCTTCATAAGTCACACTGAGTTCGAGCAATCGATTGAATTCATCCGCATCCACCCCAGCTACGCTTTTCATTTTCTTTTCTTCGGCAACAATCAGTTTCTGTAAGTGTTGTTCAAAAAGATTTGTTTTCTGAGTGATCCCATTCTCAGCAAGGAACGCTGAAAAAGTTGCCATTGCAAATAGAATGTAGTTGGATTCTTTTTGATATCCATCGATGAGTCGCTGCATATTTCGAATGGAGATTTTCTTCATCTCGGCCGCATTCGCTTCTGAGGCGAGTTTTTGTGGGTTTTCCAGAGATTTTGTAGTCATTCGTTGTTCGTACGAGATTCGCTCGTGATCATTTATGTGACAGGAGCATTCAGTGCAGAACCTGCAACCATGAAAGACTGCACATCCGTCTAGTTTTCCAATATCGCTTAGTTTGCAATCTTTGTGGCAAACCCTGTAGATCAACGCTTCTTTTCCATCAATCCTTTCATACCTTGCACATTTTTGACTCCGACAAACGGTTTGGGGCATCGATAGCTGTAAGATTTCTATTGAAGTCACTCGAATCGTCGCCAATCTCCGCAATTCTTCAACATTGCTCTCGGCTTGCATCAGCTCTTTCTTCTGCCAGTCCAGTTGTTGCAAGTTTCTCTGGATCATTGTACAAGCTTTGAGAATTGGATCGATTAACTGATAGATCCAAGTCCGAGTCTCATTGATTGACAGCGTGTCCGAGGTGTTGTGTGGGCGAGCTCGTGCAGCGTGATCCAACAATCTCTGTACTTCGTTCGACGAATGTTTCCAGCTCTCGGCAAACGTTTTTATTTCCCTTGTATCGAATTGAATGTCACTGAAATGAGCACAAACAAATCGGAAAGCTTCATTGTCCAAACAGAAGATGTTGCTGTCATCAATTCTCACTGAAAGTCCTTCTTTCTCCTTCAGCTCATTGAAATAAGCCTTCAACGGTCCCATTGTATCACCCGGTCGATAAAATGTTCCTCTAGCATTTGTGAAAACGAAACTAGCGTTGTTGAGCGCCATTTTGCTCAAATTTCCAAGCAATTTTCCGATCGAGTAGCGGAAAGATTCCGTGAGACGAGCCTCATTCGCTTTGAAAAGAAAGCAAATCGCATGGATCTCTTTGAAAGGTGCGATTGATCGAAGAATATTCTGAATGTTTTCCTCATCTTTCGAGTGTCCTCTGGTATCATTCATTCCCGGAGTGTCAATGATATAAATATTGTGTTCATCTTGCTCATACAGATACGTTTTAGCGCTTTGAGTGGCTGATTGACCATTGTCCACAAAAATCTCATTGTCGTGTGCTCCAAGATGGACATCGTGTCTCTGATAATTGTCGTCAAACATTGTGAATTTAGTTGGAATCACGCAAATCGGCGCCTCGGCAGCAATCGCTTCATCTAGAGTTTTGTAAGATAAATAGTTGACAAGAGCGTTTATCCATGTTGATTTCCCGACTCCTGTCTGTCCTAGCACCAAAATATTGATCGACTTTTTCGTGGTGGAGCCGAATTTTTGCACTTCGACATTTTCCTTCTGTAGCCGCTCGTTTTCCTCATTTTTGACTTTGGCTACTTGTGTTTTGACGGTTTCGAAGGAAATTTCTTGGGATGGGGCAGTGAATCTCGGCTTATTTGAAGAAGTTTCAGAAATAACAGGTTCCGGTTTCTTAGCTTCACTCGTACTTGAGCACATTTTTGATTGGTTTTGGCTCTTGTAATTTTCACGCTTTTTCGGTTTTCCCTGGACAACTTGACTCCAGCTTCTTGTCGAAGCAGGTCGTTTCGTCTCTTCAATCAGGACTTGTACAGTTGGCTCATTCTCAGAAGTGCTTCGAAACCGAGAAGAAAGAGAGTGACTGATTACACCATCTAGATCTCCTTTCCTATCTGCAAACGGCTCATTTTTGTTATTGTCTTTAGATCCAACAATTGTCGAGTAACGGGCCAGTTGACTCGAGTGCTCAGAAGAATGTTGAGAACTTGCCAAAGTTCGAGGCTCGGTAATGGGGCTGAAGCTGGTCGGGTTCTTTGAAGCAGCCTCATAACTTGAACTCCTTTTCGAAAACGAAAATCCATTCTCATTTCCCTTTTCTTTTTCCAAATCACCATGCATTTTCTTGGAAGTAGTTCGGCTTATACGATCTGAAACTTTCTGAGAATTCGATGCGTTTTCAGTTACCGATGAATATCGCTGAGCAGACAAGCTCAAACGAATTGTAGTGATTAGTGGATCTTCGAGCTTCGCAACTGCTTCATTCTCCTTTTCCCTTTCAGATTCAACAGCTTTTTCAAATTGCCTGCCAAGTTGTTGTACGTTTGTTTGGCACTCGTGAAATGAAGCGCTTGAGGAGCTAAAGGAGAATTTCGGTTTTGCAGCTGAGACGACATCTTGATCTTCAAATTTCCGGTCAATGTTGGTTTTCCGAGAGATTTGAGAAGTTCCAAAAAGTTTTCTTGAATTGTTGTCTTCGTAAATATCAGCAGCAATTGTGTTCTCTTCAATTGTGTTCTCATCCTGAAAATCTCGTTTAGTATTTGAAAATGGTATTTAATATATAATCCTTTAATAGAGCGGTGTTAACATTTGAAAATTACCATGATTTTGTCTGTAAGATTGTAGTTTTTAAAAAATGACAGATTTTAGTAGAAATATTTTAATTTTAAAGTTCTAGTAAAATAACTACACTCACTTGTTTGTCTTCTCTCCACAAATTCTTGCTTAAAGTTTTCAAATAGAGTTCTTGTTGTTCGGGTGATAGATCTTGTAGACGGGCGTTGATATTGTGGGCGTTCAGTTGGGCTTCACGAATCAAATTCGTATCTTGGTCTCCGTTGAGCGAATCGACAGCGTTTCGTTGATCAGAGTCAAATTTTCTGGCGAGTGGCTAAAATTGCTTAGTTATAATTTTCAAATAAGTCTCATTGGGGTCTCATGAACTAAAGCTTTCCTAAAAAAGCTTTTAGCCTAAATTAAGATTAAGCAAATTGTAAACTAAAGCCAACTATTATGTCGATTAACAAAAACACTTACAGTATCAAAGTGTTGATTGCAATCGTTTTTCCTTTGAACTCCATTTGAAGCATCCATTTCTTCCATTTCTTCCGGGAAATTCTGAAAAATCCGATTTTTTTAATTTACTCTTAATCTTTTATAGTGAGCTGCTGATGTTCTGGTTAGGCTAGGAATTTTTGCACTAATCGCTTAAAATTTGCCTGTTGTTCGGGCAAAGTCGGTGCTTCAAGCTCAATGTCATCAGTTTCCATCGGCACCGGTGAAGTGTGAGGAAATTGAGAATTAGCATCATCTAAAAAAGGAACTTATTGTTATTGAAACCTAACTTGTTGTCAGAATTCGTCGTTGCCAAATGGCAAACGTCTATGAACAATTTCCTTGGTTTAGTTACCCACCTTGTGCATCATTAGAGAAAGGAAGTCTAGAGACCATTCCACAAAAAATGAACTAAAACTTTAATCAACTAAATTTCTAGACTAAACATGAGAATGAAAAGTTCTTAATAGAGAGGGGAACAAACCGTTCCTAAAAGCAGTCAAAAGATTTACCAAGAGAAATTTATTGATAAGAAATGAATGAAAAAGAAACAAAGGTTTGTGAAAAAAGGAAATGATTGCTAGTTAAAGAAGATCAATGAACAAAAAACACAACTTAATGAAATGGTTCTATTTTCTATTCTTCTTGTTCTTCTGGTACTGGTTTTTGTTGTTCTTTTGCTGTTGCTTCTTCCCTCCACCGCTCGAAGGCGCAGGGCTGAAAAGCGAAGTGTAAAGGTTTACTGAAGGTTTACTGTACCGTGACAAACATTGCAGTATGTTCTTTCTGAGTAATGCATTTCTTAAGGACACCTTTTCTAGAAACCTATTAGAATTGAACTGTCAGCTTGCATTTATTAGGGGTTTGCAAAAGAAACTGCGCATGACTTTCCGGAACAATATTTTCTCTATTTGAAAGTGCTCTAACCCAGTTTAAATTTTATTCTATTGTGTTAATAACGCTTATTTATTTTACTGATTTTCACATTTGTTTGCCCATTGAATTATAAATAATTTTAGTTGTCGAAGATGACGGATCAAAAACTCATGTTGCGAGCGTGCCTTCTCTCTGACCTCAAAATGAAGAAATCAGCATCGAAGTCGCACCGGAATCTTTGTGAAACATTCAGAGAAAACATTTTGAGTAAAAGGACTTGCCAGGAATGGTTTCGACGTTTTCGTGAAGGGGATGGCAGCTTGGAAGATGGATATTGTCCAGTTGTCTTCGATAATGCAGAGTTGCTGGAGATTGTAGAGTTGGATCCAACTCAAACTTTGCCCGAATGAGCCGAATACTATAATTTCTCAAATCTACGCCGAAGAGCTGAAGAAAGTTGATGCAATTCTACGAGAAAGAGGTGTTAATCCAAGGACAATCCATTTACTCGCTCACAATTTCCGGGTACACACATCAAACTTGGCTCAAAACACCATAGAAGAATTAGGCTGGAAACTCGTGCCTCATCCGCCCTATTCACCTGATATCGCTCCCTCAGATTACCATTTGTTCCTGTCTATGCAACACTCCCTTGCAATTCAACAGTTTAACAATTACCAAGAAGTCGAAATTTGGGTGCAAGACTATTTCGCGTCACAAGATCCGGAATCTTTCGAATCAGGCATCCGAAGTCTACGTAAAAAATGGAAAAATATAGTTGATAATTTTGGCGAGTACCTTTTGGAATAAAGTCTTTTATTATTAATTTTCGAGGTGTTTGAACGTTGCGTATAATACGCAGTTTCTTTTGCAAACCCCTAATAATTAGCTGGATTTTGGTATCATTCGTTGAGGAATCAGAAGACTCAGTGGGTCAATCCCAAAACAGCGCCGCGTAAAACAGCGACGAGCAGAAAAGTTTATTTTCAGTTTCATTAGTCTTAATTAGTTTAGACTAAAATCTATTGAATCTATCATACAGTACCAAAAATTTTAAGCAGATTTACTTGTGAAACTTTGGCTCATTTATATAAGAATGCTTAATTATACTGCAAGCTTTTAAATTCAAATTTAATTTCAAGATCCACAGTAACCAAGCAACTTCTAAACCCACATCTCTTTCTTGACCGTCTTCTTGTACTTCCCAAAGTTTGCCGGTTGAACTTGCTTTGGTGGTGAGTATTTAACCGTCACATGTTGTTGATGTTTTGCCAACCCGTCTTCCGTCGCAGCAAACAGGTTCTTCAGAATTTTCCCCGTTTGTTCCAGCCCGAACAATTCCGCTTTCATCATCTCAATCTCATCCGGGGTAATCGTATTCCCTCCATTTGCAATTGGATTCTTCTGCGCTTCGATCAGCATAGCTTTCTCTTGTCGATACTCATCCAAAAGCTTTTTCAAATTATCCAATTTCGATCGATCACCACCAATACCCGTGCATTTCTCCTCTTCCGAAATTGTTTGCTCCACGTATTTCTCGAAGGCGTCATTGTAGGGAAGGATGGCATTGGCTTGCAAAAAGCTCCCAAATCGCAGAGAAGTTTTGATGATTTTCTGTTGCTCTTTCTTTAACTCATGAATTGTATTCTCACAATCCCGAATCATTTTCGCCTTCACTTTATTCGCGTCTTTTTTCTGTCGAATGAGAATCTTCGTGTTGTTGTCTTCGACTTGGACGGTAGTCTTGATTTGCTCAAAACGGACGTGCATATGAGTACTCCAAAGACACTGGCACACTTGACAATTTGGTTTTCCAGCCATTGCAGCACATTGTTGAAGGTGAGGCTCAGGGACACGTTCTACATCAACATTGTCAAGATAGCAATGATCATGACAAATCTGTTTGTAGATCGTTTGGTATTGAGTAGTGTGTGGCAATTGGATAGTATCAATGCATCTTTGAGCAGCGCAAACGGTTTTCGGGTAGTCCAGCGGCTTGACTTCTATTCCAATTTGTGGAATCAGAAGCATTTTCTTCAACTCGTCTAAAGTTGCAGCTGTATTTTGGAGATCTCTCTTTCTCTCATCAAATACTTTGATTTTCGACTCGATCAACTCATTCACATCGGCCAATGGTTCGATCGGCTGATTTTAAGCCTCACCTGACATAGCGCCATTGGGTCCAAATCTGAAAGAGTTGTGGAAGATTCGTTGTGGATATTTTGGGTTCACATCATTGGATTGCACGTTCGAAGGTTTTCCGTGTTGTTTATGACCTAAAGTTTTTGGTCATGTAGAAGGTATTCATAGTTCACAAAACACATCCACAGTTCCAGTAATAAAGAAGTGAAGGAATTGGTAAGAGAGGGAATTTCCATTTCATACTATAAATTAAAATCGACAACTTACCTCTTTGCTCGAACTTTTGATCGGGAGCCTTCCGAGAAGTGTCACCGTGACACCCATCCGCTCTGGGCGGCTAAAAGTTTCAAATGGTTTTTACAACTTTAAAAACCTTTTACAAGTCATGCAAGCCTTGACATCATGACCGGTCTTGCGAAAGGAATCAAAACTAATTTATGGGTATTCTTGAGCTCACCCGTGCTTTGTTGTTGTGACGTTTCGTTTGTTGTTTCGGAAGTGGTTCGAATCGTTGTGCCTGAATCGATTTGTAAGATTTGTCTCAAAGTTTTAACTAGAGTGTGTTCATCTCAAGTCCACTTTTGCAAAGTATCTTTTCTCTATTGTATCCAATCGAAATCCTCCCGAATCATCTCAAAAGTAGTGCCTAACTTGGATAAAACTAGAGACAAGTAAGTAAAACTACAGCAATTGTATTTGTCGAAACTCTTATTGTAAAGGAAGCACGTTTTTCAACCTAATTATAAACTCAACCCACCGGTGATTTGTAAGCATAAAGCGCTAGATGTTTCAGTTGACGAATCTTTGAGAGTTGCGGCGCACATTCGACAACGATTCGTTGCACATTTTCATCGGTAAATGTCACAATTACACGACGAGGTCTTCCATTTTGTTCAAATCGTCCTTCTCGTTTGATCTCACGAATATTTCCAGCCAGACTTTCCGCGTTGATCGCACATAAAACTTGACGAAAAGCATTCCGATCGGCTTGCTCTTTCATCTGATCATCACCAAACGGTTCTGGGAGGTTGAAAAGCACAATTTTCTTCTTCACATCTGCATCGGGATCATTGGAATGAATTGGCTGTTGAGAAGGGTTGAATTGGCGTGTTTGATCGAAAGAAGCCGACTCCGTTGCACTGACGTCATCAGCCTGAAATGTTCGTGTAAATTTAGCTACAAAACTCTGTGAACTTTTATATATTACTACCAGTTTCATTTCTAGTTTACTTATCTTTATCTATACAATCACTGTTGAAAGACACTGCACTGATTGCAGAATCCGGTATGGAGAGGCCATCTACAGTGTACTCTAGAATACAAAGCAAAGCCACAGTACTCAAACGATCAATCTCATTCAAAGCTTAATTTTGACTCAGTCAAGGACACATAAATTGAGCTTTAAATGGAACCAATAAAAAAACTACCGTAATCTAACGGTAAGTTTCCATGCAAAGTTAAATTCCTGTGTCATTGACTGAGCCAAAATTAGGCTTTGAATACTTATCGTTAGACTACGGTAGGTTTCAATGGTGTCGTTTAGAAAACGAACTAGTATCTATTGTTTAACTTTCTGCTTTTCAACTTGCCTGTCCATCAATTGTTTCAGAGTCACTTTCCTTGTCCAAGGCATTCAAAAATGCAGTCGCTGAGGCGAACATCGGATCGCTTGCCATTCTTAAAGTTAAATTAAAATAACTAGTAAACTTTCAGAAAAACAAACATCTCCAACTGTTTCAAACAGCTATTAAATTGAAAAAAAAACATAACAAAATTTATTCAAACGAAAACATGTTTCACTTTTTGTACTGAACAATGCGATTTGTTTTTGTGGCCACTTCGACGATGTCGAGTTCCGGGAAGTCGAATAATTTCTTGTAAATGGACGATTTTGTCAAGGCAGAGCCAGCAATCAGAATACCATTTAATTCCAAAATTTTCAGGGAATAGTTCGCAAAAGTGATCTTCTCTTGTTCACTCGATTTCACACTCGCCAGGAATTTCTGCTGTTGGTGAATTGCATGCAACTTCTTCAGCTTATCAATCTCATATCGATCACTTCCCGTTTTCAGTGTTTGCTCTAATTGTTCAATCGAGAATTCGGCATATTCCTCGAAAGCAGAATTCACTGAAACGATTAGGTTCTCCTGAAGAAACACAGAAAACGGCTTGGCCAGTTGTTGAGCTTTTTGATACCTTTCCCTGAGAGCTTTAAGTTTTTGTTGGTTTTGAGTGATGTACAAGAATTTGCTTAAAATTTGTTGAATAACTTGATCATCTTCTTTCTTTTTGTCAGCTTTTACCTCGCCAACCCTCTTTCTCTGTGAGTACAAAATGTGCATATGAGATTGCCACGAGCATCCACAAACACTGCAATTCCCTACTTGGGCAAAAATTGGGCATTGACGCAAATTCGTAGCTCCAATTTGATTTAAAGGCACATCTTGCACTAAACAGCTTTGAAAGCAAACCTGTTTGTGAAAAGTTTTCAAAGCATTCATCGTCGGATCTCGAATCGTTTCCACGCAATTCGGTCCACAACACACTGTATTTGGTTGGGAAATTGGTGTCTCTTCCAAGTATGTACCTTGAAAAACTTCTTTCTTCGTATCAGCCAATTTCGGCTCCATAATCTTATACTGAGTCATTTGTTGATCCAAAGCTTTTTGTTCTTGTCTGATCCGTTCATCAAAAGCGGCCAAAATCGAGCACAGCTCATGGGTCACTTCTCGAATAATGCTCACCACTTTCGTCTCATTCGCCAAATGTGGATCGAAATTGGTGACAGAATCAAATAATCTATAGGTTTCCTTTACAGTGTGATTCCAGGATTTCAAAAAGTTGTTGACGCAGGCTTTCTCAAATTGCACTCCTTTGTGGTGAGCATAGAGCATTCTCACCGGTTCATTATCCAGACAAAAAGTGTTGGCACTGGTAAGTGGGATCTCGTTTTGGTTCTCATTCTTCACGTCTTCAAAAAGCTTTCTCAGGACTGTCATCGTGTCTCCTGGTTTGTAGAGAGTGTTGCAAGAGTTCGTGAAAACAACGGAAACGTTTGGAATTGCGTTTCGGTGCAGATTTGCTAGCAGTTCAACGATGCAGTATCGAAGTGACAGCGTGAGTCGACTCACATTCGGTTTCAGTAGAAGGCAAATCCCATGAATTTTATCCCATTTCGACACACATTTCATGATCATTCTCATATTTTCCATGTCACATTCCAAGCCTCTCGTGTCACCGATGCCCGGAGTATCGATGAGATTGAAAGCCACAGTGTCGGTGACAAATCGATAGACTTTTGGTGCCTGTGTGCAGGATTGTCCCGTACTCGCGTTGGCCTCGTTTTTCTCACTTTCCAATGTTTGCGCTTTCATCGAAACGGTTGTTTTCTCGAACTTCTCCCCAGTGTACACGTTGAACTCCATTGGGATCACGCAAATCGGTTTCTTTCCATTTAAAGAATCATCGAATGAATCGAATTTTATGTAATTCGCTATACCATTGATCCAAGTTGATTTCCCCACTCCCGTTTCACCAATGATCACAATGTTTCGCTCTTTTTGAACTGTTGGCGGCTCGGCGATGTCGAAATGGCGGAAAGGATTCAGTGGGACTTCCGGTTTGGTCGACTTCGTCACCGTCTCAACAGTCTGAAATATCTGAGTTAGTTTTTTTTTGATAGAGTAATATTATTGTTTTACAGTTGAACTTAGCTAGCCTCATAAAAGCCTCATAAAAGTGGACCTCAACAACGATTTTCTTTTTCAATTTTCATAGAGGTATTATTTGTTGCCAATTCAATATTTATTTTCTATAGATAAATGGTTCAGAAATACTTGTTATCGTAAATGCTGTATTAGAATGACATATTGTTCTACTTTTCAACCCCTCAAAATCGACCGATCCAAAAAATAGGAAAGAAGCAACCACATGAACCAAAAATACAAAACAAAAGCAACAAACTATTTTAAACGATGACTTTTTGTCCAAAACATACAAAAAACACGTTTAAAAGTGAAATTATTTTATTATCCCTTTGAAAAAAATCCATGTGGAGGACCGTTATAGGTTATTTTTATATTTTTTTTCAAAAATAGGATTTTTAACTTTACAGCCGATAAAATTTTAGTAGGTTTTAGGTTTAGTTTAGGTTTTTAGTAGGTTTCTTTACCTCATCTTTCAGTTTCGATCGATAGAACTCCCACAAAGGGGTCTAAAGTCAAGATTCCGAGGAGTGTCATTCTAATACACCATTTACGGTATCCATACTTTACCTCATCTTTCAGCTTCGATTTCCTTCTTTTAGTCGACGGATTTGATGAAGCTGGATATTGGGACACGGAGAGCTGTTGAGCGAAAGCGTTGACCAGGAATGACATTGTCTAAATAAATTAAAATTTTTGCCTCAAGTTAGTAGAAATTTCGAAAATTATCATTCTAAAACGACCCACCTTTTTATTTTCTTGGCTATTTGCACCTTGAGTTTCGTCTTTTCTCTTTTGTAGAAACGGCTTTTTGATTGAAATCGATTTCCAGTCTTCTGACTTCTTCAGTTTCCCCGAATTTCTCAAGATCTTCATTTCATCATCTTTAGTGGCTAGTTGAACAATAAGTTTTCGAGGTTTCTGTTGGGAGAAGTCGAATTTCCCGTGTCGATGGACTGTTTCAATGTTGATTTGATCGACGATTGATCGTAGAATTTCGGTGGCCAATTGTAAGTCTTTGGCTTTTCGTGCGGCAAAACCTCCAGATGGTTCGGGCAAGTTGAAAATCACGATTTGATTATTTTCCTCCTTTGATTTCCCGTTGGTGTCAGAAGTGGTTGGCAAACCAAGTTGGGCGTTGTTGTTCTGAAAAAAGAAAAACGGTTTTGAAATTTGAAATACTCTACAATATATCAAAAACATGTCTAATAGACGTTTTGAAATTGAATTTAAATGTAAAAACTTTTCAAATCTTGAATATTCTGATCGAAAAGCTTAACAGTAAATCTAATTTTTGAGCTCTTTCAATGAAAAGTTTAGTGTTGGCTTTTTTCTATAGTGATCCATTTTTACATTTTACAATGTTACAATTCTTTGCCAAATTTTGCTTACCGAATCTTGGATGAGCATATGTTGCATGAATCGATGGAAATTCTCCTGGAATTTGGCGAAATGTGCGGCATCAAAAGGAAAATTTGCGGTCATCCTTAAAAGTTTCATATTTTGTTTTGATCAAAGAAATTGGGCGAATAAGCCAAAAAAAGCCAAAAAAGCGAGAAAACAGTAAACAATACTTTTCTAACTGTTTTTTAGGTAGAATGGACAATCTTCTAGACGGATTGGAGTAGTTCCGCGACCTCCGGGAGCTTGAGCCAAATCTCTTTCAAGAAGACGATTTGAATGGAAAAAATGAGGTAGCGATGTGGATGCAGATTTGATTGGAACCACGGAGTTGGAAAAGAAAACGAAGCGGAAAACGATCGACATCAGGACGAAACTCGATGTTGTGAAAATGGCTCGATTTACTTCTATTCTTCAAAATTGATCTCTGTCTTGTGTGCGGCGAAACATCAAACAAGGAAATGAGCTCGAGAAGCTTCATGAAAAAAGAAAACGAATCGACGGGGCCGGTCGCCGTTTGACTTCGGCTGAAATCGACGCGGCTTTTGGCGCTGTGAATTCGTGAGTGCATATGTTGCGTCCGTTTACGAACTGACGTTTAGATCGGATCGGACTCGGACGTCCGTTTACGAACTAAACTTATCTATAGATCGGTTTCGGACGCCCGTTTCCGATTTAGAATGAAACTTCAGGCATTTTAGATCGACTTTTCGGCTGTTTTAGTAATTTTCACTCAGAAACCTCACTATTTGATCAATTTTTCAATTTTAGATCAACATATAGCCAATTTTTTAATAAAGATGCAACTTTTATAAAGAAAATGTTAGCCAAAATTGCATTAACAAACTAAAACGATAGAAAATGCAGATGGCTGAGGAAAGTGTACTCAATGTCCTCTAGATCTGATAGCTATAAAAACGTGTAGCCCAACTAAAATGCGCAAAATTATGCTTGATTAACAATTTGAATTTTACCGAAACGGACATAACACATATATTCTGATTATTAAATAAAGAACTCAAAGAATTCAAAGAACCCCAAATTGAGTAATTGAATCTTTTCCGACTATCTATCCACATAGGTTTTCTCTATCTCTATGGAAACGCAAAAAAAT